CGGTAAAAAGTATCCTATTTGTTGACTGCTACCACCATACCTAATTTCATCAAAATCGTAACAGATAGACAGACAGACAGACAAAAATTCTATAATCTATAGATTTGGCCTCTGTATTCATAATATTGTTATATTACTATTCCAATAAGATTTTTCAAAAAATATTTCATGTACAGATTCGAGTCAGTTAGAATTTTATTATATGTATAGATAATGTCGGAGAAATAATTCAAAATTCAGAGAATCATAGAATTCATCATTCAGAGAAATCATAAAATATTCTAACCTGCTGTAGTTAAGGATAGAGGTTCATCAAAACAAATATTATATACTGTATAAAGGAGTTTATAGTTAGTAGTTTAGTTAAGGAATTTCTATGCTAATACAAATATTTTTATATTTATTTGTTTTACACCAGTACTTGATTTTTTCGGAATCATCTCTTAGCATACCAAAAGTCTACACCTGCCGCATGTATTACTCATACGTATGGTTTTTCTTACAGCGCCATCATCATTAATATAAAAATGAATCGCTGAATGTGTTGGTAAGCGCAAATCTCGAGAGCAGCTGAACCGATTTCGCTAATTATTTTTTAGAATATGCCTTGAAGTACGAGGATGGTTCTTACGGAGAGAAATTAAAAAAAAAATGCCTGAAAAAGTCTAAAAATAACACTTTTCTATACTCCCATACAAAAGATTCGTAATAATACTTAAAATTCAAATTGAACTTTAATACCATACCATAAAGTTTAAGTGTTAGTAGAGAGGTTCCGGGAAGGCAAAACAATTGAGTGACGTTAGTATCGTATAAATATTAATGTCAATATTTGTCAATATTATTAACAAAAAAAAATTATATGGCTAACGCTGGCTAATAACTATTTATATCTATGTAAAACGTACCTAGCGACAAACCCGAGCGACGCGAGGGTGAGCCGCTAGTTTAACATGAAAAAGTTTATTTCAACATGTTTTTTAATTTCTATGGCTTCTCGAATCATTCTAGGGCGATATCGGTTTTCTTTCGCCAGGATTTGAGGCCTATCGAAGCGAATATAATGGCTTGGGCGGTCATCACAATCAAGCTTGTGTGATTGTGGGCTCTCTTACATCGGACAAACAGAGAGAGAGAGATCCATTAGAACCCGGGTCAAAGAACACATAGCTGATGTGAAGCACCGTCGCAATACAACATCTGCTGTCTGCAAACACAGTCAGGACCGCCCAAGCCATTATATTCGCTTCGATAGGCCTCAAATCCTGGCGAAAGAAAACCGATATCGCCCTAGAATGATTCGAGAAGCCATAGAAATTAAAAAACATCCTAATTTCAATAGGGAAGATGGTTGGGTACTACCATCGTCATGGGATCCTGTTATTAATATAATAAAATCTAATAATAAATCTAAACATAACAGACAGGTAGATGTAGTAAGTTCTTACTGTGTAGATCAAAATGATAGCATTTCTGATTAATAATATTTTTTCACTTTTTCATTTGTAAATGTATGTAGTAATGTGTTGCTTAATAATTTGTTTTTAAATAATAGCAAATTTAAATTAAAATTATTATTTTTTAATTAATCTTAACTTTTTCAAATTACACATAGATCAATTGTGGCTTGAATAATTAATACTATATTTTATATTTTTCTTATGGTTATAAATATAATAATGGCAACACTAAATATAGATTGCTAATTAATTAAATCATTCATATTTATAAAAGTGACTCACTGTTTAATCACAAAATCTCCAAAGTATAAATGCTTAAAAGCAAGCTTGAAATTATAAGTATATGTACATATTTCTAATCTGGAGGTGGTACCCGCTAAGAAAAGGTTTTTGGAAATTCAACCCCTGAAGGAAAATAAATGGGCTGAAAGTTTATATAGAGGGCAGAGCGTGAAAATCATATTCCCAATATACCTTGATGCAGATAAAATGAATAATCAACAAACACACACATCTTAATCGCCGCCATTTTAATCGTTTTATTGCGTTCTGCTGACACATTTGGTTAAAAATCGACTATAGATGATAGTAGTAAAAAAATATATCTAAAGTAAATCTTCTAAATAATGTTAAAAGCATCTTGTTGATGCTTATATTATCAATAATTTACATACATACATAGGTATGGTGCAATATCCCTGGTGACCTCTAACTGTAACATTTATAAACAAGAATATTACTTACGGCATAAATCACCGTTGCTCCTTTAAGTGGATCTCTAAACGTAATCTCAGACGACAATCTAGTACAAACGCTTGCACTAATAGATATAAGCTCTATCATAGAGCACTAACGATATATTTACCTTGTCTATGTGTCTCCATTGCGGTACCGCATGGTATATAAGTACTAACTACCTATTATTAACCACTGGTTAAAAATATGTAAACTAAAAGTATGTATGGACAAGTATTATTTAAAATTATTTATGTATTTTTTACTATATAGTATTAAAGTAAATGACTATTAGGATATATAGATGAAATATTTTTGGAAGATCCATAGTATATATTTGTTATAAACTCTTATTCTAAATCCTTATAGAAGTTATCTATACTAATATTATAAAAGAGCAGAGTATGTTTGTTTGTTTGAATCGCTAATCTCAGGAACTACTTATCCAATTTGAAAAATTCTTTTTGCATTAGATAGCCCGTTTCTTGAGGAAGGCTATATGCTATATCTTCTAATATATAAAATTTCCATGTCACAATGTTAGTTACCGTACTCCTCTGAAACGGCTTTACCGATTTTTACCAAATTTTATATGCGTATTCAGTAGGTCTGAGAATCGGCTACTATCTATTTTCCATACCCCTAAGTGATAAGGGTGGCCCACATTAGGGACGAACCCGAGCGGAGCGAGGGTGAGTCGCTAGTATCATATAATATGTAGTCTATCTACTAACCGTTAAAATTTATTTAAGGACGAATCCGAGCGAATCGAGGGTGAGTCGCTAGTCATTAGATATATGTAAATATGACAAGTCATTGATTTAGATTTAAAATATTTTATTGAACAAACAAGTATAATGACATCATTGATGTTTTTGTTACAAAGTTATCTGATTCAAATATAATACAAAATTATTTAAGCAATAACAACCATTTTATAGTATTTAAAACTTACCTTAAAATTAAATTGTGGAATTTATATAATTATAACAACATTCACTCGCTCTACAACTGGTTACATAAGTAAAAATTATAAGTTATTGTGATGTTACTTTATGGTTATTGAAAGAGTTCGATCAGCGAAGGCTGTCGTCGAAATACGTAGCGCGCTCGGTTCGTCGCGGTGCACTGCGGTCGAATGCTCGGCAATTTTGCGCTTTGTTCCTCAACTAAGATGGCAAGTCGTGGGCGCTTCCCGCCAAAACCAGTCACCTTGGTTACGCGACGCACTATGATGTCGTCATCGCGTGTTTCCAATCCTCTTCCAACCAACCAGCCAGCAATTTTCTATACTTTCTAGAATATGTAAAATTTTTACTTACTTTTGTTTCATGTGTTGCAATTAAATAATATTATTATATTATTAATTGGTAGCTTTTTTTCATAGCCTGCAGCTTACGCTAAAACGAGTAGTAGGTACTTAAGAAAGTTGTTTTTTTTTCATTATATTAAAATGTTCGTAGAGCTTTAATTCTCTGTCTCGAGGAAGTCCGTAGTTGTTTTTTCCGGACAGATACTTAAAACAATATTTCACCTTGATTACACTATTTGCAAATTGGTGACGTGGCCGAGGTCTCCGCCCCCGCTATGTTTATTCGAAATATAGGAAGACAAATACCTATCCAAGAATTTTTTGAATCACATTCTCGTAAAAAAAAAACAATCATATAAATCATATATATGCGAAAGTTTGTGAGAGAATGAATGCGCTTGTTACACTCTCTAACAGCTTAGGTACATTTGAGCGGACTTCGGAAAATTGTTTATTATATAGACTATATTCAAATGTACATACATACATACTACTATATATTATTCTAGCATAATCGCTTAATCTTTCTTATAAACCTCATTCCCTTATAAGTGGACTTGAATAAAATGTCGCCTAACAAGTTTCGTCTTATACCAAAACGAGATCTTTTAAATCCCCGTCAAATCAGTAATATGTATGAGATATTAACCTGGACCAATGAAGACGAGTGCTTTTAAATAAAATTAGTTGTCATCTATTATAATTTATAACATCTAGGAAGCAAGTTAGTGATGAACAAATAGCCATAATATTCATAGCCTAAATATTGCGTTTAAAGAGAAAAAAATTTCAGTCAAAATGATATTTTTTTACTCTAAAAAGTAGGTACTTACGAACACCGATATTTCGAAAACCTCTTCAAAACAAAGGAAAAATATCTGTTTTATTATTTAAAAAAAATAATAAAACATGTATTTCATTAGCCTCGTTCCACGCCTTAAAGAATATTGGGTAAATCGGAACGACAAATATATGAATGAACGTTTTAAAGTAAATTATTAAGATGTTAGAGGTTTGAGACATTATAAACTTAAAGTTAGTATTAGTAAAAATTAGGAAATATTAAAAAATACATTAGAGGCAGACTTGCTAAGCATTATTAGGTCAAAATTTCCTATATGTAACCTTTTTTTAAAAAAACAATAATATACAAGTGTTGAAAATCACACTCAAACACATGTTTGAGTAAAAGAAAAAGCTTACATATAGCAAAATTACATAAATTTGCGAAAAAAATATTTATTCATTTACATAATGAGATTGAGTAAGGGTAGGTAATAATTAGGTACCGATACGAATATTCAAATTAAAATAACTTAGATATAACAATATGCTCGCTGATAAGATAATTCATATTACTTAAATATCTTTCATAAAAAATATTCAAATAAATAAAAGAGATAAAACTTCTTATTTTCATTTATTTTCATATATTTTTCTACCTAATACACAACAACTACATATCAATGTTTATTAATTATGAAATGTTTTTATATATCAAGCATTTCTTCCATACGTATAGAATACGGAACATCGTGAACGGAAGTCCAATTAACAGTGTTGGAACGAGAAACTACGTCTTGCACGAGTTGATCCTTAAACTCTTGCCATCTCCGTGCTGAGACAAATTCTTTGAATAACTGTTTCTTTGTTGGTATCTGAATAAAAAAAAAATACTTATGCAGGGATATGTTTTAATCATTGGATATTTCAAAAATCATATATGTACATATGTATATATAATAAATAATAAAATGTACATATGTACGTATGTGTATGAAAAGACGTTAAAAACATGTTTCTGTGTCAACACAAAACTCCTAGAAAAAACTTTAAGTTACCTTTTTTTTTAAATAATGTTGAATTCTTGACCAAATATTAGCAGTGTTACGTTGCAAAAGCCAAATTTTAGGCAAAAGCATACAATTTACAGGTGTTAAAGCGACGATGCGGCGATCGCGCATGTTCTCCCCAAAGCCAAAACTTGATCCCGGATTAAGTTGACATACCTATCAAACAATCATATAATAAAATTCTAACTCAGTTGAATCTGTACATTGATTTTTTTTTGGAAAATCTTATTGAAATAGTTTATTATCGATACAAAGGCCGAATCTATAGTTTTTAGAATTTTTGTGTGTCTGTCTGTGACGGCATCACGAAAGAGCCACTAGACAGATTTTGATAAAATTTGGTATGGTTATCCGGGTCAACATATAGGATACAGCGGGAAAACATCTCATCTTTGAAAAATCTATACTAAATGTTAAAACGTAACAAGGGACTAAGAAGTGAGCTGCCAGTATTACCTACATATGTTTATTGTTTGTGAATATGTGTTTGTAATTGTTCAGTCTTCAGCGAATTTTAGAATGAAATTCAGACATACATTAACATACGAAGTAAGATTTACCTATATCTTATTTAAGTGCCTTCCACGCTAATGAAGGATCGAGTTAAAACTACTATTTAATAGATACATAGGTATATGGAATTGGAAAATAAAATTATGGTTACAGACAAGATTTCACAGATCGGTTACAAAAAGATTTCAATGAAAATACCAACTAAAAATTTCGCTTATTTAGTAAGTAATTTCCATAAAATAAATTAATGTACCTGATATAAATATTAAATATTTATACCTGCATAAAATAAGTTCGAAGACTTTGCGGTGGCACCATGTTTTTAACATTCGCACCTATCACATCGGGAATGACACTAAGCCTGGAAAGTAATACCTCCCTGATAAATTCGATATTGGATTGTCATTTTCTAATATTTATTACATATTAGAAATCAGTGGGCTATGCCCAATAATAAATTTACATGAACATGTACAGCAACAATGAACATAATATTACACTATTTATCCGACTGCGCGAAGAAAAGAAGGGTAATGTGTTTCTCCGTCTATGTATGTGCCTATGTATGTATATTTATATACACATATGTATGTTTGTTCCTATATGGCGTTCTAGAAACAAAACGCGTAGGTCGATTTTGATAATTTTTATATAATAGTTTTCATCTTTTTAGTAAGCTTTTTTACCTTACAGATTCTCTTTGTTCTTTATGAAATGAAGGATGTAATAATTCTTGAGATTTAGTAGCTTCAGGAATATCAAAATCGACGCTTCCTTTTCGAGTTTCGTTTGAATTTTTTTGATTATTCTCCATTTTGATGGTACTCGCGGTGGAAGATTTTTCCCTCTTTAAAGAACTATGAAGATTAATAGCTTTTTCTGACTGTTCTACGGAACCTAATTTTCTTTCACTGTGTTTATTATATCCCTCTTCAGTGTCAGTCGACGCATTTTTTTTATTGAAGGCACCGAAATATTTTGTTTCAAAATCTTGTTCGCTTTCCTCTGGTGGCACCTTAAATATTACTTATATTTTTATATATAACGTAAATTAGGCACATTTCCGTATAAATACATATTAATATTCACATTTTTATATTATAGCGCTACATTATCTGTGTTGAAATTATTATGTAGATATTAAATGAAAGCTTTAATTTTTATAAAACTTTCAGATTTTACAAAAGGTATCTAAATCTTTTTCTTTACATACATAACAAACAGCAGCAAAATACATAAAACAATACATACATAAGGATCGTATAGAGAATAATAGTTTTTGCCGAGACGAGTTGTTACAATCACTTGTAAAGACTCGATCATTTGACATCGCCCTGATAGAATAAAATAGACGAAATTGGCAACACCCACGCCGTCACCGAGTAGCGTTTCATTTGGTTCGTATGATTTCATCTTAGCAACTATGCAACCTTCACGACGTGCTACCTACAAATCAAACATTGTTATTAAAATAAAAAGTGTATTTCTAATATTTTTTTCGTTTTCCTTACTATAATAAAAAATATAGTTATATTTAATTTTTTTGGATGGAACCCTAATTTTTTTTCTAAAATAAAAGTACCCTATGTTACTCCCTACAACATCAGCTATCTTCCAGTGAAAATCCCGTCAAAATCAGTCCAGCCGGTTCAGGGATTATCCGGAACAAACAGAAAGACAGACAAAAATGTATAAAATTGTGTTTTTCTTATAAGTACCTACCGTATATAATTTCATGTGTATTTAGTAAAACGCTGTTATTTTGACAACGTCTAGTCTTAATAAGTAGTTTAGATAATAATAGTAGGTACTTATATTGCTGAGCCAAACATAGGTTGAACTAAAACAAGTTAAATTTAACATAAAAGTTTTAAACGAGTAAGTTGTAGTTTTTGGTCTACTTTATCTAGCGAAATTGCAATGTGAGCCCACAGTCGCTTTAGAATAGTCGAACAACATTGACTTCTACTTAAAACTTTATCACGGCTGCTTTTACAATAATAGTCCGTCTACCGATTCGAAGACCAAATATATAACTTTAGAACAATTAATTCTAGTTATTCTATCTTGAAACACATAAAAATTATATAAAAAAATTCTATTTAAATGTATTAAATGCGTTGATTCCGTATTCTTTTCTATGAAATTATTATATTACCTCATCAAGTGCATCAAAATAAGTAAACGCAGACATAGCACGACGAACTTCATCCCATTGCTTCTGAATGGATGCTTGCAGAACATTTTTGAAATCCTCCTTCATAAGTACCAATAACTCACAGTGGTCTAACAATCAAGAGATAAAAGTGGCAATATCTTTATTTTATAGCCTTTACTCGTGAACTAACATAAACAAAGCTCTATATATTTTATCACTATCCGTTACTATGATACAATATGTTTGATCGAATTTTATTTTATAGTTCCATTTAGGGGGATGAATAAAAATTTATTCATTATACATTATTACTAGCATTGCCCGCGGCTCCGCCCGCGTTCAGATGACCAAAAACCAAATTCTTAGGTTTTACATATTAGTAATACTCTTACATTGCAATTTTTGTATTTCTTCTCAGAAATGAGATATTTTCCCGCGGTAAAAAGTACCTTTTATGTTGACCCGGATAACCAGCTATCACCATACCAAATTTCATTAAAATCCGTCCAGTGGTTTTTCCGTGATGCGGGAACAGACAGACAGACAGACAGACAGACAAAAATTCTAAAAACTATAGATTCGGCCTCTGTATCGAAAATAATGTCTATTTCAATAAGATTTTCCAAAAAATATTTAATGTACAGATTCGGCTTATTTAGAATTTTATTATAAGTATGTATAAATTTATGAAAGGTAACTTTGAACAGTAAAATGACAATAGAAAAGCTTAACCTCGCCGCTTTAGTTGCACATTAACGAGCTTACACGATAGCTCCCTAATTATACTAACTTAGTTCCTGTTATAGTGCTATTATTATAATAAGGAAAGTTTGTGTGTTCGTGTATGTATTTTTGTTACATTTTAACCCCGATTATGAAACGGCTTGACGGATTTGGATGAAATGCAGTATACTTACAGATAGACTATGACCCGGAGTACGTAACACAGGTTACTTTTAGACACCCATGTTCGCACCTGAGCGAAGTGAACATGAGTCGCTAGTAATTAATAATTTGTAAAGTTTATTGTTTTTCTAGTGCTCATATTCTACCCACATTTTATTTAAAAAAATCAATCTCTCTAGGGCCTGGAGAAATCTTTTTTTGGAATGAAAACCAACCAACCTATCATATATACAGAACGACAAAAAATGGTTTCATACAGTGTCGTATGTTTATAATTATTTATAAATTAACTAGTAGTTCTGCGAACAGTAGACCCCGCGAGCACAAACCGCATTTTGAAGAGCAATTTTACTTATCACGCCGAAGATCCTTATATATCTTCACCAATTTTTTATGAGATCAAATAAAGTTACTATTTTTTTTTCAAATAAAAAAAGAACCATCGAAATCGGATCCCATAGTCCCAGTAGCCCCCTTTTTGCCCCTTTTTGGAGGAACAATTTCGAAATAAAAATTCCATTCGGTTTCCCTCCAATCAAACATTCCCGACGACAAAAAAGTCTATAAAATAAACCTGTATACCAAGTTTCGTTCAGATCGGTTGTAAATTACGACCTGTAGAGGAGTACCAACACTCTGACAGAGGAAAGAAAATTTTGCTAGACTTGAAGCAGAGACGTTTCGCTCGCTCGGTCAATAAAAAGCAGTTAAATTTAAATATCTTAAAGAATTTTGGGTATACATAAAAATATGTTTAAGCCAAATCTCAATATTCTCAATTATACTTAAATTCTGCTATAATCTAATACCTATAATGATATTTACTTTAATAGTATAAAATACACTTATATGAGAAAACTCTATTATTTATATCTAAGTACATTTTTTTTCATCTATTAACAGTAAAAAATATTTTTGTATCAATTAATTATTATCCTATTGGCAATGTGCCATTTATATGGCGATCGTTCAGGGGTCATAACCTAATTATACCTGGTTAAATTGAAACGTTAAACAGTGTTAACTCACAGTCGCCTTTTAAAATTGATTTCCAAAATCCTATATATCTAGTATCTGTTAAACTAATTTTAACCTAAATAATATCAATATGAAACTTTGTAAAGACAGATTTCTGAATGTTTGGAAAATGTTGAATGAATTTGGATGAAACTTAGCGAGTTAGCATACGGATAGACCATATCCTGGTATAACTTATATGATGCTTTCTATTCCATTTTTACTATAATATCATTGCAGGTCGTATGTACATATCTCTCTCTCTCTCTCTAATGTCGCTAATCTAAAACGTGGAAAAAACTAAAATAAAAAAACACTTTTCCTACCATCAAATCCGCCAACAGAAAGTATTCTATCTAAAACTTAGATTAAAATTAGTTTTTGAAACCTACGCAATTTGACGTAAGGCTGTTTGTAGACAGCTTTTTCTAATTCAAATTAGGCAGATAGATAAGAGATGAGATAACCATTTTCTATAATACTGAAATTACTAAAATAAATGAGTATAATTAATTTTGAACTATAAATTCTAACTAATTCCTCTTATGACTACGTAAATTATTATTCGGGTAGGTACTTCTAACCATTTGTCGTACAGGTTGCGGTCCTGGGAATATTATGTAACAAAGACACTTCGCCAAACATATCACCAGGATGCATAACTCCTACATCGACAGAAACATGTTGTTGTAAAAGCTCATCAAAGATCATCTGACTGACAGTGACGTCGCCATTTATAATAAAATAAAGCGCATGTGCCTCCTGATACTGCCGAACTATTGTCCGCCCTGGACCATAATACTTAAAGTATGTCACAGCGGCCAATTTCTTTTTCACGTGCTGTTATAGAAATGAAATACAAAAATAAGATATTTGATACTATGATTCGTATTCATTTGTATTTGTGTAGATTATTTTTCACCTTTTTTAACCTATTGGATTTAAAAAGCGGAACTTTTCTAATAACACTATAAAGTTTATACATACTCCCTAAACAAAAAGATCTTAGACCCTACATTTTTGGTTGTTGCTATATCATTTAAACCACTTTCCACTTTTCTTTTCCATATTAAAAAAAAACTTTTAAAGTTATTGCATTAATGTAAAATGATATGTTAACTTACATTAGGATAACGCTTGAAACATTTAAGGCCACCTATAATACGAAAAATATATCTTTTTTCTTGATCTGTTCGGTCTTCTGCTGGTTTATTCAGTAGCGCTTTGTCCTATAGTTTTGAAACCATGCGATCATTAACTATTTTTAAAATGAAAATTCGAAATCGTGTAATGAAAAAAAAACTAGATATACTAAACACTAAATACTATTTAATACTATTCATTACTTCAATTTAGTTTTTATACAAACTAAAAAAACAATTAGTATTGTTAAATAATTATTCCCTCAACGACCGCGGACACGCCGGCGTTACAGTTAACTATAGATTTCTTAGAAATTTAATTAATTTCTTAGAAATTTACCTGGAGGTGATAAAGAATAACAGATTTGATATTATATTATATTGTGCTCAAAGTTACCTTTTTATCGTATTGTTTTATTTTATAAGAGGGTCAAATCAATACTAACATTTATACTAAACAGTTGTTTTTTCTTTTTCCCGCGAACTGCTTGCTCAACTCTACGCTTAACATCATCCAGCCCCTCATAATGATCTACACCTTCGATAAGCCAATATGCATTAGCCAGTACAAGCCGACCTAACGCACGGAACAAACATTTGGCACGAAATTTTTTTTTCATTTGCTCCTCGGGATCCTATAATATAGTCATTTTCGAATTTTTATGTGAAGTAAGTAGGTGCTTATTTAAATCCATTATTATAATTAATAAGTAATATTATATGTATTATGAAAATTATACTTACCAGTTCTTTCTTAGTACCACCAAGCGCAGCCATAATATCAAATATACAAAATACAGAATCTTGATATTTTTACCGCAATAGGTAAAAGAAGTAAAAAACTTTAGGTAAATAAATTATTATTAATATTATATCATAATACAACCCTTATACAGATGACAGTATAAATAAAATATACACATGACAAAAAAGGTATCATTTTATTACAAAATATATTCAAGTATTTTTTTTTTACTAAATAAATAGAGCTATTTTATATAATTACAATATAATATAAATCAAATATTTTCTTGTGAGTGTACTTGTGTTTTTTACTTCTATTGTGTTCGCATCTTACCTGTGCCAAGTATTGCTCCTGGAAGTTAGACCAGCTGAAGGAAGAATTGAGAAGGAGAGGTGCATCCTGTGGTGGTCCTGACTGACTGATGGATCAACTCACAGCCTAAACCGCTGGTATAGCATATATAGTATAGCTAAAATGATGTAGGCATTCGATAAGAAAGAATTTTTCGGAATTCATTCTAAGTGGGTAAAATAGGGGGCAATAAAATTTATATGGGCAAAGAATTATTTATGATCAGAATTACTTGAAACTTGGTATTAATGCTCTTTAATACGTGTTTTAGCATTTTTCGAAATTCAATCCCATAAGGGGGTAAAATGGGGGATGAAAGTTTGTATGAAACTGGGTAATTAATATCTAAAAAAGTACAAAAAATAAAAAATATCACCTGTACGCGATTTAAGAGTTTTAAAATCACTTTCTATATAATGATGTCCACATAGCCATAAATAATATAAAAATTGTGATATCGCCAATTTTGGTCGTCTTATTGCTTTAGCCCACAATTTCTTCAGTTCAGTCATTTTTTAGGAACAATTGATATCCATTTTCTTTGCATCCTGGTACTACACAATTTGTCATTTTAATTAAATTGTAAATAAAATTAAAAAAGTCTACCCACGCTATACAAAATACTGAAGATCAAAAAGATCGCGACGTCTGGCGGGAGAAAAAAGCAAAATTCTTCCCCAATCTTGATAATAGCTGCAAAACTTTAATATTCTATCTGTAGTAAGAGATGATTTGACAAATATTGACATTGACAGTAGCGTCTATGAGTAAAGCAACTTGAAATTCATACTTTTATTGTGAAAAAATTAAAAAAACCGCTTAAGAGTTTTCATTACTATTTAATTACATGAATAAGTATTCTTTCAAAAATATAATACATTTTTTTAATTCCTACTTGTTAAATTCAGCGACTACATTTTCAAAATGGTAAGGATGATGTGTAATTTTAAAAATATTGGTTTTACTTACATTGTAAAACACATTGCTCTTCTGTTAACATTTTGATATTATGGAATATACACATAATCACCTTAAATAGTGTTCTTTGTAGTTGTTATCATTACATTAAAGTATACGTAACTACTTAAGTCAGCAATTCTTTATAAAATTACAGAGTTTTGGACTTCCTTCTTTAAAAGTCAAACCTGAGAATGCCGGGAACATCACAGTTCAAGAAGGTCCCTTCGGAATACCTAATCCAATGGTGGCTGGGCTTTCAGCCACGAAAAATAAATTAGGCATGTCCCATCCGTTACAAGCTTCGGAACAGAATGTATGTATAAAAAGAAGTAAATGCTTGAAATTAATAAATAATAAACATTACCTATGCTAATAATGAATGTATTAAAAACTGGTAGCAGCCAGTACTTTCAATAAGACGACCAACTACGACTTTCAGAATGCCACAATTTACAATCTAATTGTTTATCTGCCCAGTTAGGCATTAGCACGGTAATAAAAGTTGTGTTTCTTTAATTTTTCTGAGCATATTTATACTCGTTCCAGTATCATCTCAATGAAGAAAAAATGAATATGGCTATGCTTCGGAATATTCAAGGTCTTCATGCACCTATGAAGCTTACAATGGAAAGAAAGTTTGCGAGTAAGGTAAGATACATGTACTATAATATTTCTTCACTAAGTTTACAATACAATTAAATAATTTAAGCTTCTGTGTGTTTTTGATATTCCAAACACTACAATAATAATTGTTTGTAGTTCCACAAATAGTATGTGTTTATTTATTATTGATCATAAAGAAATATACATTTAATATGGTAGGAGTGCACAAAAATAATTTTAAATCTAAGATAACAAATTACAAAAATTATTAAAATGATAATTTAAAACGAAGAAATTTAAGTATTTTCTAATCAATTTTATATTTCTTAAAATGTAGAATTATGTGACTATCATGTTAATCAGTAAAACAAATATTTTGCAATGTCTTAGCCAATCTGAATTGAATTTAACAATTCTTTTTTATTTATAGATTACACCCTTAAGGGTGGAATAATAACTTCTAGTGATTTAGAACAATTTTTAGTTGAAAAGCAATTATTATAACTGTAATGTTCAATTACCAGTTGTGACTGTAATAACTAATCAGTTAACACCTCCAAGTAAGTTTCTAAGAAATTAATTAAATTTCTAATGCCAGATTTCACCAATGTCACCTAAGTTTAAGGGATCCCCTAAGCATGGTTAGGGGACTCTTAGGGGACAGTTTCTGTTTCATTTACAGTTAGGGGACATGTTAAAAAGCCCCCTAAATTTAGGTGCTCGAAATATGGGCTTAAAGACGATGGTAAAACGAAATTTAATTTAGGGGCTACTTTAGGGGAATTTTAAGCTAGGCATCTCATACATAGGTGGTAGCTTATGGGTTGTTGGCAAAATCGGGCATAAGAAATCTATTGTTAACGGTAACGCCGGCGTGTCCGCGGTCGTGGAGGGATTAAATGAGATTATTGCTGTGTGGACAAAATGAATTAATCCTACTAAAAATGACTGATTCTTAGTTCCATGTTGGACGTTTTTGTGCTTTTATGTTGTGCTTATTCTTGTCTCTACTATTAGTATTAAAATTTTGATCAGATGAATTTCCAATTATTATGTTTATTGGTTATTTTTATAAGCATTACTCTAAATTTCAGGTTGGCCACCTTCCTTTCCTTACCAGCTCCAATCTCCAGCATGATGTATTCACTGGCAGATATCTTGATATTGGTTTTGAAGATATTCTCAATACTCCTGAATTCCGTGAAGTCAGCGGACAGCCTCATGCTGTTGTTGAAAAATCTCTAGGCGTGCTTTAAATCGTTTATGTCTTAAATATACTAATTTTTAATAAAAACAAATTAAAACACGATGTATGTATATGTCATGTACAGCTTTATTGACCTCTTCCTAATTTTTGACAATATCAAGTATACGAAGTCTGCAAATTTTCTTAACTTCATTGATACCAATGTTTATCTCGGTATCCCTTGTGTTACTGTATCGTTGTTGTAAACCTTCAATTATTGCTTGTACTTTATTTTCTCTTGCACAAATTACAAATGGAAAACCAAATTTGGCCTTGTACCTGTAACAATATAATTTAAAAATATTTAAATACGTTATATACGTACGTTAAGTATTACAAAAATTGAAATACATTTACAGAAAAAAAATATTTATTAATAGTAAGTAATTACTTAAGCAAATGTCTTTAACATTTTTAATTTTATTCTGATCAATTGCAATAAACCAAAACAGAAGATCAAAGTTAAAATATTATTATGATTGTGTGCTAGCGACATCTATTTAAAATGTGTGTAACTTCGTCAACAACAACCAGAGTAAACAGTCGATACAACTCTTACTTTAGCAGTTAGCATCACTGGCGACCTCTATAAGCGTCAAGGTTGATGTTAATTGATTACAGAGGACGCTAGTGAAAATAAAAAATTATACCAATTTTGTTTATAACACATCTAATTATATACAGTAGAGACTCGATTATCCGACCCTCAGTTATACGGATTCGTGATTATCCGGACTACCCATGGCGACGTACTCACCCTTGCCCTGCGCCGTGCGCGTTACTCCGCTATGTTCCGCTGTGTTGTGTTACGTTTGTGCTTAAAAATGTCAAGGCGTAAGAGAGTGGTGTTATCGTTTAAAGTAAAATAAATGTTGATTTGTCTTTAGTTAATTTTAATTAAACACCAACCTTAGGTATTACGTAATATGTACCAAAATCGGTGTTTTTCAGACATTCGATTATCCGGATTTTCGATTATCCGAATGCCTACCGACAACAATTAGTCCGGATTATCGAGTTTCTACTGTATTTAATACATTAACAATACGAACTCAAAAATATAACATTATTATATGCATACAAATGATAGTTCTAGTAAGAAAAATTCGTAAATGTTAGAAAAAAGTCAAATTTATATTCTGTGATATCACTAATATAACACAATAGAATTAGAATTTAAATCAGCAAATATAATTCATGAAAAACCTTTTATTATGTAAGTCTATAAGAGCTTTTTGCTCGGCAGTAAGATCGGTTAGTCCGGCACTGCGCTGTTCACCCGCGGACTCGCGTGTGAGCTCCCCCTGTGCAGCTAATCGACCCGCTAAATCAGGATGTGAACTAAGAACCTTAAGTTTTTCTGTAACATTTTTTTTCATCATTAAATAAATATTTAACGTAGCTACTGTTCACTCAGGGTTGTTAAAATTCAACCAAATTCATTATAAAACATTTAAGGAAAACATGAATAGAACTTACCAATCTATATAAAATATATATCTAAAATAAATATGTAGTATAGATTTTGCATCATCAGTACAGTGTAATCTATATGCAAAGGCAAAACAGTTCAGTACCTTTTCTCCTCTGTTTGTCGACCGATTTTGTTTTTCTTCCTTTTTCCTTTTTTTTGGTAATAGTAGCTAATGACAAGCTTTAGCGTTATCAATAAAGAATCCAAAATAAACAAATATTACCTACCTAAAATTATAATTATTATGAATTTCTGTCCTTAATTCAAGTTATTATTTAGCCAAAGGCTAAATAAAACAAGGGGCCCTGCCGTCGTATTATCATATACTTACATACCTATTTACCCATTTTTTTTTTTAAATAAGTATTTGTTGTATGCACGTGTATATTAGGTAATGATTAATGTAATTGAAACTGTTAGTAAGTAAGTACCTACTATAACTAATAACCTATATCCAAACATAATATAAATGTGAAAGTGTGTTTGTTTGTCTGTCTGCTTTTCTTTCACGTCGAAACGGAGTAACGAATTAGTTGGAGGGCTGGAAAGTGACATAGGCCACTTTTACCGCGGGAAATTACCTCTTTTCCATGGGAAAACACGATATAATACAATCAAAAAAATATTTATGATCAGAATTAGGTACCTACTTGACACTTGGTATAAATGCTCTTCAATACAATTTATTAAATACGTGTTTTAGTATTTAGCGCGAACCGCGGGTTCTGCTAGTAATATATAAGCCAAAGCTGACGAACTACCTTATAACCCTTGATTTTACCACAAATAGGTACTTATTAAATCTGTCAATAAAGTATTGCTTTTCTAAAAGAAACCTAAGTATAGTACCTAAATACCTAAGTCTATATAAATGATATTTGAGGTACTAATCAAAAAAATATATCCAAGAAATATGAATAGGTAATATTTTATGTAACAATTAAATAAATAAATATTTACCCACCTTCTAAGCAGACTTCATCCAAATATTTGTTGAACGCAGCGCAGAGGTCAGTTACATCTTGGAACGGACGCATATTTTGTACATGAACCGACGCGGTGCTATAGAGTTCTATCACATTACCGAAAACCTCTTCAAATCTAACATTACTCATGGAATTTACTTCTGATATATCCAATAAGTCGTCCATGGTGCTCTATTTCACCGTAGAAACAGTACTGAGGTCAACATCTACTTTTAATATATATTATCATATAAGGTCATTAGTTCAAATAATGAGATGCAAACACACTAAACAAGTTTAAGTCATTAAATTACGTATAATGAATATAAATAAATGTATAATGTATTTTTATAGCCAAAGCTCACAGAATTAGTAAAAACGATGTAGTTAAAGATATGTTTTAATGGTTAAGCTGTTAAATATAATTAAATAATAGGACCGTACTCTTTATTTTGGGACCGCATGATATATTTTGATTGTAATGCTTTAGGTAAGTAGGTAGGTACTTGTATAATTAAATAGGAACTAATTATCAAGCAAAATTAATAATAATAGCATTCATAGATATAATAACACTGTTGTGTAGGTACTATGTATACTATGTATCAGTATGTGTATACTATGTATTATTATATCTGTGATAGCATTACATTTCAAACACAATCTTCAGCTCAATTATATATTAAGTAAAGATCAGTGGTAGATTTACCAGCAGGCTCAGTAGGCTGGAGCCTAGGTCAGCCGATTTTAGGGGCAGCAAATTTGGGGATAAAACTATTTTTTGTTTGTCTTACAGAAATTAAAAATTCATAGTCACCTAAAGTTTCATACCTAAACGTTATTAGGTCCACACAAAAAAACATCAACGTGTAATATGGTTCACCACTAGGACAAATTTTTCAACGATTTGCTTAATGTTGGTTCAAGAAATTATGTCTGGAAAAATTTATGACTGAAATCGGGAAAGTACTTACATTATTGTGTAAAGTAGGGCTTATTTTATCCCGCCTTATTAGTAGTACATGCTTGAGCTTTTCTTAGCTTAGAATTATACCCAAAAACTATTTTTTGTGCAATCTTAACTAAGTCGTTGGATTATATAGATAATCTAGGAACTGAGTCTGACACTTGTAGAGGTCGCTAGGGGCGGGAAAATTTGAATAGCCTTCTGGCGGCAAATGTGTAAATCCGCCACTGGTAAAGATGTAGATTATAAACAGTATAACAGTATCATAATTTGAAATCTTAATTAGGTAATCGGGATGAATCTTACTACTCATTTTGTCTATTACCTACATAATAAAAAATCCCACTTTGCATTCACTGTTTATGGGTTTCATCATTTATGTCTAATTTTCAATATAAAATGTTATATCAAAAATAAATATAAACACATATACTTGCCTATTTAATATTTCTTCCGCTCATAATAATAATATAACACCACCCATAGGTACTCATGGAAATGATTTTATTTTAAAAAAAATATATATTTCTGTAACATTATTTTCCATTTATTCGTCGTTCAATATTTACGATTACGATCATAAATTACCCACCTACTTAAGATGATTTAGGTGTAATTATGATTGAATATGATAATTACCTACTTAATAGGTTAAAATAAAGTGAGTACTTATTTAAGAACTAGCTTAAGGAAAACAAACACAAACCTATCCCACGGGAACCGTACATTTTTCCGGGATAAAAAGTAGCCTATATGTTATTTAGGACTATAATCTATCTCTGTGCCAAATCACATCCAGATCCGTTCAGCCGTTCTGGCGTGAAAGAGTAACAAACATCCATACTCACAAACTTTCACATTTTTAATATTAATACGGTTATTATTTTCTAAGATATCCTACGAGTAAGTGCCCACAACTACGATCCAATAAAATAGGGTTCGTTGGTTCAGTAAATCATATACCTACATACTAAGTAGGTATATTCATCCCTATTACATATAGAGCAGTAGATCTATTATTTAACAGCCTTTATGTAACTCCAAGTTTAATTTTCTTGTTTAAAATTATTTAATTCTTAGAAAGTAAAAATAGTTAGGTACCTACTTATAAAGTAAATATTAAATATTTTGTGCCAGCAGGCTAATTTTAAAACTGTATTATATTCTAATCTATACTAACAAATCAAGAGCTAGAGTTTGTTTGTTTAACGCGCTAATCTCAGCAACTACTATTTAATAATAAAATATGAGGATAATAATTAAGGATTCAATTTTGCAAATAAACTTTAAATCGGACTGTTCTTTTACAAGTTCTTTTTGCATATTGTCTCTATGTAATGAAAGTAAAATACAATTTGTAAGATACGTAAGAATCACCTACCTCGTGTGTCTATGGTCTCTTGAGAGGTGAGGTGTCTACGTCGCCTGAAGTGACACCTCGTTTATGATCGAATCTGTTATACTTAGATTGGAACTAATTCATCTATTTTATTTGTCATCCATGCTTAGATTTAAGATAGCGCGAAAATACAGCATCAAGTCAGATACCCTATGAAATATTTAACGTAATCGATATAAAAAAAAAGTTTTATTGAAATTACCTGTTTTTTTCTTAAATACTCGTAGATACTGACCTAATTCTTCATGCCATCACCTTCATGCTATTACATCACCTTCTATGCCAGATATTTCACTTATATCAATTGTGAATATTCTTTAAAAATGTTAATAACCTACTTATTAACGATATATACTTACTTAGTAGTTTAATTTAGTACTAGATATCTAGTAGCCAATAGAAAACAGTGATTGTAGCCTAATTTTATTAGCTTTATGTTATTTTTTATTAATGTTTGTATTCACCGTAAGATAATATTAAAATATCCATTTCCTGTTAACAATTAACATGTGTAAATAATGAAATAGTTCTTAGTGAGCACTATTACATTATGCCACCTGAAGTATAACAAAACAACAAATTCACTATACAACAGTAATTGATTATTTAAGCGAGAAAATTATAATAGGTAGGTATCAAGTTTCGAAAACCTTGGTTTCGCTATCGAAAGTGACTGCGTTTTAAAATGATTACCAATGCATATTTACCTAAAATGAGTTATTTAAATTTAACAACAAACATTATTATACGCTTGAATTCCGTTTATTATCCTACACCAGAGGTATTTATATATTTATATTTATTTATATATTTATATCCTCCCGAGGTATTCCCTGAGCGCTATAATATGGGGCTCTTCAAGAGTAATGTCTATAGGTCCCTTAAAAGCCGGCAACGCATTCGCAACTCCTCTTGTGTTGCAGATGTCCATGAGCGACGATAGCCACTTACCATCAGGTGGATCGTTTGCTCGTTTGCCCCTTTTTTCTATAAAAAAAAAAGTAAGCAAACTTGCTTGCCTTATTGCAACTTCTAAATAGCCACAAAGTTCACTATTCTTAAATCGATTTTGCGAATAAGATTAAATAGTACATAGTCTTGCTCTAAATATTGTTACAAGGAAAAAAAAACATTTTTTTCTATTGCACGTAGCATTTATTACTATTACAGTGTATTAGTTTAATAGGTACATTAATATAAAATCATTAAAAATATTTAAAGCTTATTCGAATGTCGTGGTCTCTATTAGCTGCAATACAATCCTTTTAACGTTGAGGTCAGTTATCAATAGAAGCACGCACTCTTTCCATGGGTAAATTCTTTACTGCCAATCGTATGGATTGTTTTACGGACTGCAAATTATCATGGCATTGAGAGCAAGCCATACTCTCTAAAACTGACCATAAATCATAATCCAGCGGATTAATATCGGGACTAGATGGCGGCCAGTCTTCAGCTCTGATGAAGTCCGGAACGTGGGTTTCTGACCAAGATTGCGTGGATCGAGCTTTATGACCCGGCGCCGATTCTTGCTGAAAGGACCATTCTTAGTTATTGAACATGGGGTTGTTAAGAGGCTTAACTTATACCTTCTCAAGAATGGCATCTTGTTACACTTATGCCGATGTTTTGATACCTTTTTCACAAAAATATGGCTTAGTCACCCCTTCATACCTAACACCCCACCAAACCATCACTGTAGTCGGATAATGCCCACCTTGTACTCTGTTGCCTAATTGGGAAGCTTCCTAAGAGCTTTGAGCATAAATACGGTCATTTTGTTTGTTAAAATATTGCTCAATTGTAAAAATGTTCTCATCCGTAAACAATTTTTTTCTGTGACCTCCCTTTGCGTACCGCTTAAGTAATTGTTTAGATTTTACTACCCTATTCTTTTTTAAATTATCAATTAAGAAATGGCCAGTGCGTGCGTCTCTTATAGGCTGCAAGTCCTAAGTCATCTTTTAAAATACGCGACATGGTTCTAAATGCTATCTTCATCTCCCGAGATAAAATCTTTTGCTTTCGGACAGGATTTCTTCGAATTCTTTCCCTTACTGCTTTGATCGACTTTTTCGTACACACACTACGTGGACGGCCAGGTCTTTTTCTGTCACAAACAGAGGAGGTTTTATTGTATTGGTGGCCGGTACACAAACATTTGACTAATACCAAGCGTATGGAGAACTTTAAAAATTGTATTTGGCTCCATACCTACATTGTGTAATGCAATTACAGCGATTCGGTTCTCTTTATCACCCCACTCCATTTTAATATAACAAAATAGTTTACAATGTATTGGCGCGAAAATGACACAATAAACAATCATATAAAAATGACAGATTCCAAATTCAAATGTAATATTTTGTTTATTTTTAATTGTAACTGTATTTATGGCCAGACTATGTAATTATCACATATATTTTACTTTTCTATAAGCGATAGCTATCATAGAGAAGCCCACAGATGCTTTTGCCATTGATTTTTATACTCTTAACTTATTTTAAATAAGAATTGAAAAAATAAATTCAATTACTTTTTAAAATCATACCTGATACCTACCTATCGAAAAATTGTTTTTTTTTTACTTTAATTAGGTGCCTACTACATAATAGGTATGGTATATTAAGAACGATAAACGTACCTATTTAAAGTTAAATTGGCCTTAATAACATTTTTTTCTTAACATCCCTAAAGGCATCTGCTCTGACTTCGCACTAGTTCGTTATTTTTCAATAGGTAAGTTCTTCCTACAAGCTTTAATATCCCGCACCCTTCTTTGGAGTATTGTTTAAGAATCTTGGTAAGGCAACTTAAAGT